ACCACATAACTACACATTTTCTTCACCTTCACCCCTCGCTAAAGTAACTTAAAAGACATTCTTATCTGCTCTCACCGTTAATGTGATAATCATAAACAAGAAAATGACATACAAAACACACAAACACAAAAGCAAGGGTAAGCTAATATTGTAAAAGAATCAATTCATGCAATTATAATTCAGCATACAACACATTTTACTTTAAAATCAAACAAGAACCTAAGCATATATACAAGTATTAATTCCGAGCTATGGTGGGTTGTACACTTGTAGTGGTAGAACAACCGGTCCCCCTCAAGCTACCACACAAGATTAGTTTGTTAACCACCTATGCATAAACAACACTAGACCATACACTAGGACCTCTTGCTACTCCTCACCACATAATCCCCTTCTCTACCGGAGATGGAAAGATTATTGGAGCATTAGGATAACCCCCAAGACCGAGCTTCTTACATCAATACCTACACTACAGGGCACTGCCATGGAATCTCTCCATGAGAGTCATGGAATTACGTCCATCTACCATCTACATGATCAATATATACTCATACTCAAACAAGCATCAAAGTACTGATACAGCTCAAATCTAGAAAGGCACAAGAGGAAAGAATACACAAACCAAAACTTCATAGATGGCACCCAACGTCAGAATCCTGGCGTTCAACATTGGCCAGCTCGCCCAATGAGCAACTCTATGTCGCCCAGCGAGAGTACAAACAAAGATCTTTGCCAGCCAAGCGAGAAGTCTTGCCCAGCCTCTGAAACCCATTACCAAAACTCAATAAGTTATCTACTCGCCTAACTAGCCTGCAAAACATTAATTCTGCAGAATTTACACCCCAAAGCGTACACATTCTAACTCCTACACCTCCACATGTGCCTACAATTCTTCTATTCCAAAACTTACATTGAACTAACCCCAATAAATTTATAACTGAATTTAAATGTTATTAGACTCATTTTCTCACAAATTTCCAACTTAAACAACTAAACATCATTCTAAGAGCTTAAAAGTTCATTTCTACTTATTCTTAACAGCAATTTGGTGAACTTAACTTCTAAACAAGTCACAAATAGTCCATAAAAAAATTTGGTGGATCTCTTCGTTTTTAAGTGGTGGTGGAAGAGATGAGTCTCTTCGTCCTGGAGGGGCGGTAGAAGGGATTGAGATTCAAATGCTGCTCTTTCCTCTTTCGAGGGGGTAGAAAGGTAATCACCTTTCCTCTTGCAAGAGGGTAGAAAGGTGGATCTCTTCATCTTTAAGTCGCAATGGAAGAGATGAGTCTCTTCGTCCTGGAGGGGCGGTCGAAGGGACTAAGATTCAAGTGCTGCTTTTTCCTCTTGCGAGACGGTAGAAAGGGATGGAGGTCTCGGTCGAAGGGTTTCGACTCGTGTTGAGTTTAGTTCTTGGGTGAATAGTTGGGAATAGGGGAGACATGTCTAAAGCTGCAGTAAAGGACCACTAGAATAATCTTGTCTTAATAGACAAGAATGATACGAAGTTCACATACATTTATAATGATGGTTGGATAGACATGAGTTGCCTTAAATTGACAGATCTTTCAGAGTTAATGGGTTGAACATGATATCGTTTAAGGGAATGTAGGTGTGGTTATCGCATTGGTTGTTATAGTCTTATTATGAATTGATGTTGTATGGTGTGACGGAATTTTAATAAGGACTTAACTATTGTGATATAAATATTATATTGGTGATTTGGTGTTTATTTTGGTGTTATTCTGAATGCATTGATCGATTTAAGATAATGTTGTAAGGGGAGCTAAATCTCAATGGTTGTGATTGTAGATGTTGTGTATTTCCTAAATTACGTTACTTGGTTTAAACGGTGGGGTTTTTGGTAGTGTAACTTATACATGATGGTAGAGTTCTCTACCGCTGTAGGTGTGGTTCTTCGGGTGTGTTGCTTTAATTTTACTCATTAGTGGTTTGGGTAGTAACACATCAATTATCTTAAGTGATAATCGCTCATCAGAATGCATTTTGGTGAAAAATGGCAAATTTCATGAAGAATGGACGTGAACCAAACTTGAGGAGCTCTGGAACATGATGATAATCAAATATTGAGGTTAGTGGTCATGTTTAGGGTCAATTTGACTTGTGGTTGAGAGTGGAGCATGAGTGAGTGTTAGGATGTACCTAAGTATGTGATTGATGAGCATGAGATTGGAGGATAAGTCTACTTGTTGTACCTCGTAAATCTTGGTTCTATATGCGGATAAATGCTTCCTTTTGTCTTGTGTGCATTAGAAAGATATTATCTGTAGTAGAGGCTACAGATGTCCTGTAGGGGAGGCTACAGGTAGACTGTAGGAGCGGTTACATTCGGTAAGGTGGGGTACAGGAGTAAGATGAACTCTTTCCACTATGATATTATGGTATAGTGACGATCATGGTGTTGTTCTTGACTAGGATAGTCATGAGTGTGGTGTATCTATGACGATGATGCTCCAAGGAATGCTATATTGGTAGTATTGTGATTATGTGGTGTAGCCAGCATAAGTGTTGGTGAACGAATAAATTGTCGTCTAGATATGTGATTATCGAGGATCAAGGATAGGGGTTCGAGGATTTAGTAATTTATCATGATTGATTGTTGGTATAGAGGTTTAGGAATCCTATTGTTATTACTTCTATGTATGGGGTGTTTGATTATTGTTGATATAATTAGTATGTATGTATCTTATTATTATGATTGTTTTATCGGTAGCTTACCACATACATGTTAATGTTTGTGCATGTGAATGCAATGATCGTATAATGTGTGATGTTATGTGGAAGCAATAGATGAAGATAAAGCACGATAGATCTATGAGATGACGGGGGGTAGACTTGGGTTTTATTTAAACCTATATCAATTGAATTTTTAAGACAATGTAATTGGAGTTATTTTATTTCCTTCGTTATTTTGGTTTTATTTAAATAATGCAATTGGACAAGTATTTTGGAGCTATTATGTGATGTAAATTTAAATGCTAAGAGTTTTGAAAATACGTTTTCGCACTATAAGAAAGTTTTGAAAATTATCAGTTTTTGTAATAACCTGTGACACCCTGAAATTTGAGACGTTACATTAATGGCCTTGTTTGGAGGTTGGTGAGAAGAAGATGTTCATTTAATTGCAGAGTAAATACATTTCAGACCATCACTTGTACGTATACATGCTTCCTTTAACGTGCTTCCATTAGTCTTTTATTTTGTTTTTTGTTTATTTTATTGTGGGTATTCCATATTGTTTTAGGATGATACCTAAAAATCTTTTCCTATTATGTATGGCTTGGACTTAAAAGTTTTGCACTAGTTAATACAAGATGAAAACATGGTCTTATTTTTTGTTGATGAACCATAAGTATGGTCATTTTTTGTGCACTATGACTAGGGTATACAACATTGTCATGGCCAATTCACAAAATATTTTTACTATGGTACCCAAATTTAATCACGAAATTAATGACGAGAATGAGAATTGTGTGGAGTTGGTTCCAAGGGTGCATATGTCTTTTGATAAAGTGGAAGAAACTAAGAAATTTTACATCGGCAACGGGGATAAGTTGTGGTTTTGGTGTCCGAACAAGGACTTCTAAAAAAAGATGAGAATAAGAATTGAATTACTTGGAATTGGTTTGTTCTAGGGAAGGGAAGTACATCTCTTCCATTAGACCGGAGGTCAAAACACTACCAAGTCAAACAAAAGAATGTCAAACTAGAAGAATGGTTGGAAGAAAATATGGAAAATGGTTGGTAAGAATTGTAGTCCTAGACCACAATCATGATTTATGTTCGAACACTTCCAACCTAATCCGTGCTAATAAAAAGTTAAACATGCAAGCAAAACGCACATTGGAGGTCAATGATAATGTCAGCATACAAATTAATAAGAGTTTCCTTAGCATCGTGGGTTAAGCGGGTGGATTTAAAAATATGCAATTTGTTGAGAAAAATGCATACAACTACATTGGTCATCAAAGAAGATTGCTATGTAAGGACGCTGATGGTCAAACCCTACAACGTCATTTTTCAAAGATGAGAGATTTAAAATAATGACTTCTTCTACGAGATTGAAATAGAAGAAGAAAATAGAATTTGTAGTGTATTTTGAGTTGATGCTAGAAGTAGTGCTTTATGTGATTATTGTCATAATATTATTAAATATAAAATTAAAAATTATTTGATTGTTGTCAAGATGTTGTTAAATTTCAGTTATTAACGTATGAGAGTACTTTTTAAAATTACACAGTTGATGATATTTGTTAACCCAACTCCTAACAAGTCTAACCACTCCCCTTGAATGAATGCTGTTTTTCCAACAAATAACTATGATAGTTTAAGGAGAGAATAAATAGAGTTGAAATTGTGGCTTAAATATAAATACTCAGAGTCAGAAGAAGGAAACGACGGCCAAATGCTTCAGTGTTTTTTGTGGAAGTATCAAAACATCGCAATGCGACTCCTTCCACCTTTTTCTACCACAACAGTTACCCTAAAAGATGGAAAACGCAAAAGAATTTGTAAAAGAACGAGAAGCAAAGGAACACTGCTTTCCTCAAAGCAGAAACAGAGGTTTTCCTAAACAGAGGGTTTCAGTTGGAATCACCAAAATTTCCAATTCAACGGAAGACCTGTCTACACAGCCATTATGTTCGTTAGCCAGTTAAAATCATGTTAGTTTCTTCCTAAAAGTGCTAAAACAAACACTAATAACAAGAGGGACTAAAGTAAAACCATCTCATACTATTTTACACACTAAAACAGATATCTCTGTTTGATACCAAACTAATTGTCGACTACAGAGGACTGATTTTTATTTTAACCTTAAAAATAATAAAGGAAACAAAAGAATTTTGAAACGGTCCAAAATAAATAAGGACGATAAAAAAATGAAAATATTAAAATTAAAAAATTGTCTTCTTCGTACTCATCTGCATACTTGTGTATATATAAACATACGCGGAGTCTTAGGCTTATCATTCGCGAAACTGCTCAGTGGTAGTTATATACTCCCCAGTGCCCATAGTGTTATTATCTTGTTTAACGTTTTTCTCTCATCCCTTGCCTTTTTCCTTAGTGTTTGTTTTCAAGTTTTTGTGGTGTTTTTTGTCAAAGGGTGCAATCTTTAATTTCTTCATGGAGGTTTCTAAGAACAGTGGTCTAGAATAAGGACGATAAGAAAAATAAAAATAAAAAAATTATCTTCTTCGTATTCTCTGCATCCTTGTTTGTAAATCCTTATGTGGTGAGCCTCGGGTTTATCATTGACGAAACTGCCAGTCCCCGTAGTGTTATTTATTTAATCTGTTATGAAGTTTGCGTTTGGTATTTAAGAAGGTAGAGTTAAGGATATTAAAAATGGACACAAAGGTGATTTCTTCCGGAGTCCAGCACTCAAATCTGCCGGAAAGTTACATCCGACCGGAATCAGAGAGACCTCGTCTGAGCGAAGTGTCGGAGTGCGAGGATGTTCCAATAATCGATTTGGGTTGTGAAAAGAGAGGTCAGATTGTGCAGGAAATCGGCGAAGCGTGCAGATCGTTTGGGTTTTTCCAGGTGCAGAGGATGTGTGGTTATGAATTATGTGTATTTTTTATTTAAGAAAAAAAGGTTTAAAAATAACAGAATAAAAATTGAAGCAGGTGATTAATCACGGGGTGGGTGTAGAAGCGGTGAGGGAAATGACAGAGGTGGCTCATGGTTTCTTCAAGTTGCCCGTGGAGGAGAAACTGAAGTTGTACTCAGAAGACCCTTCAAAGACAACAAGACTCTCCACTAGTTTCAATGTCAGGAAAGAGACTGTCCATAATTGGAGGGATTATCTCAGACTTCAATGCTACCCATTGGACAAATATGTGCCTGAATGGCCTTCTAGTCCTCCCTCTTTCAAGTAAGTCACTTATCTCTTTTTCTATTTTTTATTCTACATTCATATTTTATATATATTACAACATCAAATCATTTATATATATATTACTTTCTTCTCCAAAATTATACTTAACAAATTTAGCATGCCAAATAATATAACTAAATTTTAGTATATTCACATTTTACTGAAATCGGTGAGTTAATGGACAGACGAATACTTTTGAAAAGTACAAACATAAACTTTTAAGTAATGCACGTGTCTGTCTATTTATCATATCTGCCTTTGGGAAATTAATTGGCACAGATTTCGCAATAAAGTACTGTGGTCCTCCTGTCGGGGGATCGTTTGCTTATTTTACCAAAAAGAGCGTTTGGAAAAAAGGAAAAAACTAGAAAGACTACACACATTGAGTAGTGTTTTGAAATCTGATTTCCATCTCTGCTTGTGTTGTACTATTGATTCGTATAGATTTGAAGGAAAACACACACACACACGAAAAGGGGAAAGCGCCTATATCAAGTGATAATTAATTGAACCCACATGAGAAAGAAGCTTTCTGCTTTACCAAGAAAATGAGAGGGAAGAATATTATGTACTATATTATAAAATATTTAATTATTTAAAAAACGAATTAAAGAATTATATTTTAATATAAACATATTAAAATTATATTGTTTTTTCACCCATTTCTCTTCTACCTAAGAAAACACGGTTTTCTTATTTAAAATTCAAAGTTTTAAAAACATTCTATTTTACTTTTTTTACACCTTTCTCCCTCTCCCGCCAATTTACTTTTCATCCAAACGAATTCCTCCACATTCCCCGCATTTTTTTTTAATTATAGCATCCGCCATTTATACAGTTTTTCGTTTCGATTCAAATATTCCTATATATGAAACATAGATAAATTGTAAATAAAATAAAATAATTTATACGATTAGATAAATAAGATATATATAAAAATCATGCTAAAATTTAATTCGAAAACTAAGAAATTTTATTATTAGCACATGATGGCTAAAAGTGTAAGTTTTGAAAGCATGTTGGATGTGTCGATTATAAAAACTAATTAATTTAAACTTTGGGTAGGAGCGGATTAATGAACCAGATAAAGAAATTAATAATACATATAATTTCCATCATACCGATTTTTACTTTATTTCTTAGATTTTTGTAACACAACGGACAAAAATGTTTTTGAATCTATTTTCAACCATTTTTTACCGACTTGATCAATGTTTCTTTCGGATAGACATTAAAAAAGAAAGGAAATATTTTAAATTATAAGTATTCAAAATAAATAAAAATAATATTTTATTATAAATAATGTAATCATTGAGACATATGGTGGATCAAGTATGGGAATAAAAACCAAGAGAATTTCATTATCCGGTTAGGATAAGTCCTAGAGTTTAAAAGGAATTTCTATTAAAGTATGATGATAAGATAGGAAGAGACTTTTGGACTTAAGATAGATGTCTTTTTTTAAATGTGAAAGTTGTAAGATTGATATAAAAGATTTAAAAGGAAAAAGGAGAAATTGTGAGTTTAATTTCTTTATTAAAAAAAATATTGCTCCGCAGTATAAATGCATTCTTTTTACTCAATTAATTGAGTTGAAAGGTTTAGAAGAATAGAAGGAAGAGTTGTGGGTTTAATTTCTCTGTTAAAAAAAGTTAGTATAAATGTATTTTCTCTTACTTAACTACATTAGAATAAGAATGTATAATTCATGTGTAAAAGAAAATTCGTTTAATTATTAATATAAATAAAATTTAATGGCATGAAGTTTAAGTGTAGTTATTGTTACACTCTCAACAACAACAACAAAAAAATTGTATGAGAATGTAAGTTTTACAAAGTTAATAAATTTATTTAGGATGTAATTTAAGTAAATAATGAATTAATTAAATTGATGTTGAAAGAAGCCTTGGTATAAATATTTTAATTGTTTACATCTTGATACACTACCTAGAAAGAGAAATCGATTTACAAAATCATTAAGACTATATGATGCTACGGTAGTTTGGAGTATTTAAAAAAGTGAAAGGATGAAAACAAATGATGAGATCCACACAAAACCTATCAGGTTTTGAGGAAAAAATAAGGTGAGTTATATAATGAGAATATAAAAAGTGATTTTATTTTTTGTATGTTTTGTGTGAAATATGAGTTAGGGCCCAAATGTCATTTTGTAAGGATGGGTATGACAAGGCATTAAGTTGGAGTGACGTGAGTAGATATTTGCGTGTTGACGTAACGTCTTTAATTCATTAATCTTAAGATCCGATGCTTGTCCCTACTTGTGTTACGTAATGCGTTTTGAAATATATAAATTTTTTAGCCGAACAGAATGTTAATGAATTGGCAGGGAGAGCGTGAAAAAGTACTGCGAAGAGGTTCGGGAATTAGGGTTGAGAATACAGGAATACATAGGAGAGAGTTTGGGGCTGGAGAAAGATTACATAAAGAATGTTTTGGGTGAACAGGGGCAACACATGGCGGTCAACTACTATCCACCTTGCCCCCAACCAGAACTCACTTATGGGTTACCGGGTCACACCGACCCGAATGCACTCACAATTCTGCTCCAAGATCTCCACGTTGCCGGTCTTCAAGTTCTCAAGGACGGAAAATGGCTCGCCGTTAACCCCCACCCCAATGCCTTCGTCATTAACATCGGTGATCAACTCCAGGTAATAATAATTTCATATTCTTTTAATATATCTATACACATATCTTTCTTTTGTGGGCTAGATCTTCTGTCAGAATTCGGCCCACAGAAAAATGCCTGTGGTGTGATAATATATTGGGCTTGAGTGGTTTGCAGGCTTTGAGTAATGGGCTTTATAAGAGTGTATGGCACCGTGCTGTTGTGAATGTTGATAAGCCCAGGCTTTCTGTGGCTTCATTTCTTTGTCCGAACGATGAGGCTTTGATTAGCCCTGCAAAACCACTCACGGAAGATGGATCTGAAGCCGTATACAGAGGATATACGTATGCTGAATATTATAAGAAGTTTTGGAGCAGGAACTTAGACCAAGAACACTGTTTGGAACTTTTCAAAAACAAGTAACCTCTCGGGTGTGATTGGCAAGAACGAAAATTGTTTTGATGTTTTGTCTTCCTTTCTTGCCATCCTATCCTCACTCCTTGAAGCTCGGTGTTATTGTCAGTTCTTCATTTCTTTTTCTTATCACAAATTGTGTTTTGTGTCAGACGCTCATGATTTCTGGTGTGTCCATATGGCTGCGTGACTGAACTGCTTATTCTTTTGTGTCAGACGCTCATCGTGCTCTATTTGATTTATGGTAGGAAGACAGATGTGTTATGTAATATTCATATATTGAACCTTCCGAATTTCCTAGTGCTACTCATCTACTTGGTCTCATAGAAGTGCCAGGGAAATGTATTTTTAAGTTTAGAATTGTATTGTCGCCGTTCTCGGAATCATGTTCCTCAAATAAGTTTGACTATTTAAAACTTTTAACATATTAGAACTTAGAAGGTCAACCCTGTACGTATGTACTGATATTGAACGAAAAAAGGATTTGCGTTAAGGAGAAGAAACACAACTGAATATAATCCACAATACGAAACTTTGTTATTTGAGAGAATAACATTAAGCTTAAGTAGCACCACGAACAATTTAATTTTGAAAACTCAAATATAACTTTATATGAATCCACGCTGGAAAAACTTCAACACTTTTGAGAAATTTTGTGATGTAGGTATTAAAAACATAACACATAACTATGAAACCTTGAATTCTGGCCCTTATGGCCTGTGCCTGAGACTCTTTCTATGTTCTTTGTTTCCCAACCAGAAAAGAGCCACCATCACCAAATCAAAGTGAATCCCACACCCACCCATTGTATCACACAATCACCTTCCCGTTGTTTGGCAGTGCCTCGTAGCAAGTCTTCAACAGCTTCAGCAATGATAACAGAATGTATAATTCCCTAGAGGAATTCATTCTCTGTCCTCTCTCATTGAATTGTTTCTTCTTTTGCTTCATGAGGAAGAAGTTAAAATTCCACAGAAGCAATCCAACTCTTGCAGCTTTAACGTAGGAGGGTAAAACGCCATGGAATTCTATGTTGAACCTTGAAAATTTCCTTGTGCTGCTGATTCATTCTTGGTCAAAGGATTTTATTTTAAGTTTAGAATTTGTCTCTCACACTTATTAGAATGATGTTTCACAAATATTTGTATATTAGGTTGCTTGCGTTGCGTTATTATCTTTTATACAGCTATGAACCCCACATGAATGTCCAATTGGATTGTGGATAATGTGTTACCATTATTATAACTTTCGTTCATTCAAAAGCATTAAGGTAAATGATAATCATGGTAAATGGAATTTCAATACTATACGTACTTGCTAGCAAACGGAAAAGGGTTGGCATTAATGAGGAAAAACTGAACTTGTTATTTGCAATGTGTTATATATTGAACTTGTTCATTATTCTTTTCCTAATGCACTCGATAAAAATTACAATTTTTTCAGGAAAGCAATCCAAATGCAACTTGATGGGACTCCATACCGAAACACTTAAACCCTCTTGACAAACTCGATGATGTAGGTATTGAAAGCAGAGCACAGAACTCGGAAACCTTGGAATCCAGATCCTTTGGCCAGAGCCTCAAACTCTTTCTCTGTTCTCTCTTTCCCACCTGGATTATGAGCCAACATTATCACGTCGATGTGAACCACACCCTTTGTGGCCAAGCTAGAGTCTGGAGCCACCGGAAGAATGCATTCTGCCACAATCACCTTCCCGTTTTCTGGTAATGCATCGTAGCAGTTCTTCAAAAACTTCAAACAGTGTTCATCACTCCAATCGTGGCAAATCCACTGGAGGTATCAATGATATTAAAATCATTAGCATAAACAAGTAGAACACGATTATCAGACAGTAACAACTCATTGACTCTCAGAAAAGAAACCCTTTAAAGTAGGCAAGAATTAGGACATTGAAAAGGATTCAAGTTTTATCATTCACCTTCATAAAAATAGCGTCAGCTTTTGGAACACTGACAAACATGTCTCCACCCACATGCTTCACTCCTACACAAAAACAGCAATGTCAAATTTGATGTCAGGAAACCATTACTAAAACATTATAATTCAATACACAATGCATACAATTAACGGGTAATAACCGGTAACAGTGCTTGGAAAACTAATATAAATATGAAGACAACGTCCTCAACCTAAAAATAGGTACCTGGATAAGATGGGGCATCTTCGATGACATGGGGTAAATCAAAATTGATACCCTTGATATTGGGATACTTTGAGACTATCATGTTTATTATAGCTCCGGTTCCACCACCAACATCAACCAGAGATTTAATACCCTCAAAGCCTGTGTAGGTCTCGAGAATTTTCTTCATTGCGATGGTAGAGTGATCCGCCATACCCTTGTTGAAAACCTTGTTAAACCTTGGGTCCGTTCCATGGTATTCAAAGGCTGTCATTCCATATGCCTTGTTAAATGGAATCCCCCCTTCAAGAACTGCATCTTTCAAGTAGTACCTACAATAACAAAAGCATCTCAACTTTAACTTAATCGTTAAACGGAAATAGTTTTAATTGAACTGTTTCTACAAAAGATACCAGCTTTCCATGAGGATTTTATCCTGGTTCATGAGGTTGAGAGCAGCCAAGGAGACGCCATCTTCGTTCTTGATCAAGTACTTGGCAACGGGAGCAAGGCCATAGAGCCTCTCAACCTTGCCATCAGGAAGAGTGTGGAGGGTGAAAGTGAGGATGTTGTAGGAAGCCAATAGACGCAAGATGCGGTCCAACATGACCGGTGCCTCAGGGTTGTGTGTTGGGAGCTGAGAAGCAATGTGAGAGGGAGAAAGATGAACTCCAGGGCCAGCCTTGGCTATGATTTCCAACAGATCAAGCTCGATGGCTGATTTCAGAACCATTGGGAGGACAGAGGCACTCGCCAGTTGCATCGCAAACAGGTTTGCCTCTTCATCAGACACATGGCTTGGAGTGATCTGAGTCTCACCCGTTGAACCCATGCTCGATACTTTCAATTTTCCTCAGATTCTAGATTCAATATTCGAGCAAGTGTTTCTGCTGTGAGCTTGTGATATCCAAGGTCCCTTCGTGAAGTGGTTATATATTCACAAAGATATTCACAAATGATGTTTATGGCTTCCCTACCTGCACCTGTCCCCATCCCAACAACCACACCAGGGTCCTACAGAGTGGCAAAAGTAGTATGGAATGATACGATCCATTTGAAAAATACGGTGGGGAGTGAAATTAAAAAATAAAATTGCAAGAAATAAGTTGACGAAGAAATGGACACTTTTGAAGTTTTTGAAGGATTGCGTTGAATTCATTGATTGAAGCAGAGTGTTGTCTGTTTTAAAAATGAGAAGCTAAAATATGAGTAGGTAAATTAGTAGATTTATAAAAGTTGGTGAAATTCCTGAGTTAATGCAAGAAGGAAAAGAAGCCCATTTGTAGAATTTGGTGAGTATGTATAATGGGAGAAGAATAAAATTTGGATGAGGATGTGTTTTCAACGAAGGGTTGAAAAAGGGGCATCTACACTTTACCTAATATGTCACTATTAGAGGGAAAGTTTAAAGAGTCAGCATTTGTAGCTGCACCAAAGTCTAAGCTGTTACACATATACGTAAACAACCGGTACGCAAATTCAAATATCTATAAAAAGTATTCATACTTTATTAATGATGAGCTATTATTCTTCTCATTCACGGTTCTTCAAGACCAACGAGAGAGTGGAGTAAGTCTGGTTCATTTTTCTTTCCTTCCCGAGAAGTTTATCTTTGAGACTCATTTCCAACTCCCCCGTTTTAGAATTTTCACATAAAATGACAAAAGTAGATAGATAAGTTATTTAACTTGTAGATAGATTCAAATTCATCGTTCAAAAACACAGATCCAATATTGATGGGAATATATGTCCTATAACATAATTTCTTTAATTTTAAATGTCACTTTTCTACTGTTTTCTTGTTATTCAATTAACTTACCTAGTTTTGGCCATGCCATTGTAAGGACGAAAAAAAGACTAATAAAGATTTTGCCCTGCTATGAGCAAGAAAACCAACTACCACATGTTTACCAAAAACAGGTTTATTTACGGCGCTTCAACTAAAAATTTGTTCATTGATTAAAAGAGAGACAATGGCAGTTGGAACAGATTTGAGGTATTCAAATGTTTATTCCATTTTCCCTTTTCAAGAAAAATATCATTACATTTTAATTCAGCACTCATGTATTACAAAGTTACAATTGTGGTCGAAATTCGTTGCAGTATTTGACATTTTCGAAATTTTGTTGTGGTTGAAATCGTTTTGTAAAACTTTGACCGTGTTTTTGGCAAGTCGTTTTTTATATAGAGATCTTAATATTGAAATTATATTTTGTATAAATTGGTGTTAATAAATTATTATCATTACTAGTATAGTGGACTCTTATAAAAGATATATGTTATTGTATAATATGGTTCGGAATTTTAGTCTAAGGATAAAACAAATATTCTCGTGTCCGCTAAAACGTTGATTGGCATCACCTTGGTCACACGATCAGACGTCTCAAATCTTCATTAGTATGATTAAATGATCTGCATCACATAAAATCCCAAATTCTAATTTATCTACATCCAATTGGCATAACTAAAATGTGATGATAGTTATTTAAAAAAAAAACACTTCACATTTCAACCTAACGTATTTAATAAGGAACAGGACATTCTAATAGTTCGTGGTAGAATTTCCACGTCTGTTACCCAATTTTTAATATAATCTACTGTGTGATTTGTGAAGTATAATTAAAGGAAATAAAAGAAGGTGGAAGCCTTCTAGTGTTTCCTTTTTCCCATGTTTGGTGGTTGAAGTTGTTTTGACAAACCAAAAAGAAATTCCACAAACATATTTAACTTGATTCGCCAACCTTCCACCAAACCCCAACCAACTTTGTTTTCTTACTCTGCTCGCTTATCACGGTTTAATGAACAAATCTTTAAGATTAGGGATAGTAAAAATATTGTAATTATGAATATTTGTATATAAAATTTGTAATAGATAATTAGTAAATTTGATATTTATTATTTGTAGATATGCTTATAAATGAGTTTTACACCAGTATGTACGGATAATATTCATTATTAAAAAAAAACATTAAAATTAAAATTTAATTTTTATTTTATTAAGTTAAATTTAATTATAATTAAATTATAGTTTATATTATATTATATATTTTTAATTTTATTTAGATTTTATTTTAAAAATTTATAAAATATATTTTTTTAAATATTTACAAATATCCACATATATCCATACATTTTAAAATATTTATAAATATTTTTTAAATATGTGTCTTATTCGAAACAGATAATGAATTAGTGAATGAATATTGTTGTTGTAAGGTAAATAACATGTAAACATT